GCCTCGCCCGCAAGCGACCTCGGCGAAGTGAAGACATATTAACCCTGCTGGTCTGTTCACAACTACTATACACTTGTATCGTTCGGGTCAACATGACCCGAAACACAAAAAAAAGGAAACAAATTGCACAAGTTACTAGTACTTGTTTATTTAACGCAAAACTAACAAATAATATTCTAGCTAACTTAGAAATTACGGATAATAATAAAATATTGTTATAAAAAGCTATTTTTATCTACGACTGCTTGGATAAGTCATCATTACCGCACTCATTTCAGGTGATTTGAGTTACGTAATGAAGTTCATTACCGCACTGATTTCATTACGTAACGCATTTTTAGCCTAATCAGAACAGATTTAATTTATTGAAACGAGCAACAATACAAAAGAGAAAGTGCTATCTACTTACAGAGAAACAATACTATTTATTATAAACATTAATTGATATGTTTTTACATTTTGAAACACTTATGTCAGATGAGTAAACATGTTGTTGAAACTGACAATTCAAAATTGTCAACAATCATTTCAAAATATTTTTGTAAATGTCAAATAGACTTTTTTAAAGAAATTGATTTTTTAGTAATTTTTAGCAGTCGTAGATAAAATGCTGTATATCACACGTGGGCTAGAGCATAATTACAGTACTGGTGTGATTACACGACTCGGTCTACGACCTCGTCGTGCAATTCTTCACACTCGTACAGTAATTATATTTCTAGCCCACTTGTAATATAAATAACTATTATGTTTTACAATTTGGACAGAAGTATATACAGTGAATTTTACAAAAATGTTTATGACAATTATTACACACTATATTTGTTTTATTGTCTTTAATTGAAGGACAAAATTTACAATGGCTGCGTTTTAGAACAGTTGTTTGTGGTATATTTATAACGGAACAAGATGCACTTCCATTGTTTTGAATTCTTTGCATAACATTTCGCGATTCCTCTATTCTTGGCATATGTGTTCTGCTTCTTATGTGGTTTTTTATTAGAGATTTTCCTAATTCTTCTAAAAATATTCTTCTTTTAGTTAGCTTGTTCGCGATCTATACTCTTCCAAGGCAAGGGCATCATAAGCGTGATTTGTTTTACGCTTACAAGTGTATGTGATTATCAGATGATCTAGAGTATCAACAGCTCCTTTTGTAGCGTTATAGTCTAATAGTATTTACGGTTTTTTGTCATCCCTGGTACTAATTTGTTTGTCGTGGTGTAAGGTAGACATCAGAACTACGTAGTATAGTAATATAGTTGACTACGGTAGTGTCATTCGTAAAATAAAAGGAAGAACTATATACTTCTTTCTTACAGTACCCAACATCGTAATTTTTTTTCAGAAGATATTGCGCCAGATTGTAAGACGTAAAGAAATTATTGCAAGTTAGATTGTGACCTCTGAGTTCGCTACTAAAATCGCATACAACCCGCATGCCTTGATTTTTTTCAGGAGCTGCACCCGGTACTTTTCCTGTATATATTTGTAATTTCAAAGCATAAGAAGTTTCACTATCACAAAGGGTCCAAATTTGAATTCCATATTTTGCCGGTTTGCTGGGAATGTACTATTTGAAAGGGCAGAGTCCTCTAAATGCTACTAACTGTTCATCAATAGTAACATTTACCAGATTTCTCGAATAGGGGTAATCTTATTTCTGTCATCATGACATCATGACATCAGATGACATCATCTGTCATCAACCGAATTACACGAGATATCATGGCAAATGTTTCCAATGACATAGTTGCTCTAAATATATTTCTACCAGTTTCTTTATCCCACAAGCTTTTCGTAGATTCCCCATATGACTGATAAACCCGAGCAAGTAACAACAATCCTACGTAAGCTTCAAAAACAGTACTATCGAAATTTTTCCAATTGTCACCGTAAACCCTGCATTTCAATTATTGTATTTTCTACAGCATTATGAGATATAACTTGAAATGACGACTTGATGTCACCAATGCGGCTACTGGCATATCTTGTAATTCCTGGTGTTTAGTGTATTACATTGGCAGCAGAAAAGCGACCACGTTGCTGCCGTTGTTTCGACTTCCATTCTATTCTTCCATCCTTTGAAGAACAACTTTGCACATTTGTACTTAGATGCATAGTATCGACTTCACCATCAGAGTTGTCACTTTCAGATGCTTCACTTGTATGGTCTTCATATTTGGAAATATCTTCCTTACTGTCAGATGCTTCAATATACAGTGAAATTCCCCTAACTCGAACTTCTATATCTCGAATTATCCTAAGTTGAATAATTTTTGTAAGCTCTAGCGTTTGACTAGGTTTCAAATGTGCTTTTATCTCTCTAAAGTCGAATTTCCCTAACTCGAATTTCTCTGTAACTCGAACTGAACTATTATGGAGTTTCTTCAACTTTGACTTCTATAAGTCGAATTTACCAAAGAATAAAATATTCGAATCCGCTCTGTAAGTAATTTTAACTACAGAATTAACATAGACTCTGGCTCAGAAACTACAGACTCTTGAACCAAAACAAACCTAATGTTCTTATTGTTTCAGAATCCGATGAGGGTGATGACAATCTTGATTTACACTACTATGGTAGTTTATATTATATAGCATTTACGTAGTGAAGATTTCACAAAGCTAGTCTTATTTTATTAGAAATAAAATAAAATTATAAAACTTGGGTTGGAAAAAACTTTGCTAAGAAATACAAACATGTGGTAAATAAGAACGAGTTTTTGATAAGATACATTCGATGATATCAGTCTTAAACATGCCTTGTGGTGTGTAGCTGTTTGTAAAACTGTGAAACAAATGGTTATTAATGATTTTGAAAATCATGTTAAACAATGTGATATCGCTCGCAAATTCTCTTTACACAAATGTGTAGTATCGCGAATTATTAAACAATATCGTGAGACGGGACTTGTAGACTTGAAGAAAAAGTCTGGACGTCCCAGAAAAACCAATGGATGCCTTGATAGAATAATTGTAAGAATAGCTAAAAAAATATCAATTTTATTCTTCAGCCAAAATTAAGGCTGAGTTACAAGAAACACACAACTTGGAGGTATCAACACGTACAATACGCAATAGATTAATTGAAGATAAACTATTTGCCCGAAGACCAGCGAAGAAAACACTTTTATCAAAAAAAAATAAAGCCGCAAAGCTACTGTTTGCACGCACTCATCAAGAGTGGACATACAACGAATGGAAAAAGGTGTTGTTTAGTGATGATTCCAAGTTTAACTTGTTTAAAAGTGATGGAATGCAATATGTGAGGCGTCCAATAGGAAAAAGGCTGACTTCTAAGTACGTGCAGCGAACATTAAAACATGGAGGTGGTTCTGTGATGGTTTGAGAATGTTTCTCTGGTTTTGGTGTAGGCCCTAGACAAAAGTACATTTCTAATTTTTTTCTTTAAAGCTGAAATTCTACTAATTTTTCTCTAACTCGAATTCTCCATAACTCGAAGTTTTCTTCCGCTCCCTTAGTGATTCGAGTTAGGGGAATTTCACTGTACGCTTGTAACTCTTTGTCAGACAGAGGTCTGCCATGTGCCATGTTGAATGTAAAGTCGAATACTATATCATAACTGCATCGATGCCTTTTTTTTATAGTCTCAACATCGTTAGCAAGCACAGACTTGTCAACGCACGCGTGTAGTGAACGCTTATGAAAGTATGCATATGGATAGAGGCTATAAGAATCTATGGTCACAGATACAAGTATAGACTTGTTACTGTACTGTACATACATATATGTACATCTAAAGATTTTACTGTATTTTTGCGTCAAACAATATATTTTAGTTGAAAATGTAATAGAATAAAGTTCGGGTCATATTGACCCGAACGATATATGCGTAACATTTGAAACTATACTAAAAATACATAACATTCAAAAATGTAATCTGAAATAACAAAGCCCTAATATTGACAAATAAAGTGCCGGTGCACAAACAGAAAAACAATTAAACAAAAACCCAATTTAGGATTACATTTTCTTTCGGGTCAAATAGACCCGAACAGTACAGCAGGGTTCAAATGTTATGTACTTAGTTTACTTTCAAAGACCTCAACTAAACGATATCATCACGATATCTAATTATATCAACGTAAAAAAAACACTATTTATAAGAACAACTTAGAAAGAACGAAAATCTAGTATCGAGCTGCCGAATAAAACAGTTTTTTGGTTTAGATTTAGATGATACAAACTGAAGATTAACTCTTACATTTCTGAGATTTATAACTGCTGTGGCCAGAAAAGTTATAAATAATATAACTAACCAAAATCTTCTTTCTTCAAAGGTATGTAAGGTGCGCCAAATTTACTTTTATTAAATCAAAAACATTTGTAAATAAAAAATGTAAAAGGTGAATAATCAAAAATGTTCAATTCCAGTAATAATATTAACAACAATAAAATATTCTTAGAAAAATAAAACAAAATTTTTCATTCACCAAAAATTCGTCGACTTAGTAAACGTTAACATTTGAAAGAAACCCATCTCGAAAATACAAAACGAACCGTCGCGCTCCGATAGCGCCATCTCGCTCAAAAACCGGCCTTCTTCATCCTGTTTCTTTTTTTCGCTTCCACACTTTTTCTAATAGCCCCCGTACACCGTGTCTTTTTTTTTCTTCTGGTACGATCCCAAACGGGGCCGCGACGGATACCGGGAATCCGTTCGCCGGCTCCAATTGATAAAACACAATGCACCGCGCCGAATCGATCCGATCCGGGGTTCCCCCTTGTCACCGCCCCAAACAACGGAACGGGGGCCGCCGGGCGTGCGACCCCACGTCCAGAAACAAAAGACCCCGCGACGTCTGCACAATGGACACCTTTCGACGTTCGAAGACGACGTCGGCGACAACTTTTAGCGACGTCAACACGATTAAGATGTTTTAGAATGTATTTTTAAAGGAATTTAAAAAGAAATAATAAAACTTCTTTGTCCATTATTACTGAAATCATTTTTTAACCATCAAATAGATTTTTTTTTAACTTTTAAAACCTATAAGGGCAGAGAATGGTAAAGGCTGTAGATTAACGAGCTTCGACATTATACAGCCGGAGATAACGACCGGGAGAGGTTGGTTTACGAGGCACGAAGGAACGTGTCCCGCTCTCTCGCCTCTCGGTTTACCCCAATTTGCAAATGAGAATCGACACCGCGCGAAAGGCAAAGAAAATATAAGGTGAACAAGCAACAAAAAAATAATCCTACCTGTTAGATGATTCCCGGTGAACTCGAAGTCGTCGTCTTGATCCCAATGTTTCAGTGAAAGATTCGAAAGGGGTGTGGCATTCGCAAATTCTAAATTAGCAAAATGCCAATCTAAAATTTGCCGATCTTTTGATGATAAATAAACGTCACTAGAATAATAAATAATAATTAATAAAAAAATAATTTCTTAACCCTTAATTAGGCGCGCTGGTGTATTTTGTGTACCATTCGCAGAAAATATCAAATAAAAATAGTTATATAGCGTTTCTTCCTCTGCGGCGCTAGGTACCTTACTATCACACTGTTGTGTTTACCCTAGTATCACGTCGGCTTGTTACGATACACTAGAGAGTAGTTTTTTTAAGTTTTAGAAAAGTTGGTGCCTAAAGTATACCGCGCGACCAATTCCGTGAGTAAAATTTTATTTTTTTACACTCTTATTTTATACATCTTTGTACATTTTTATTTTATTACATAATTTTTATTTTATTACATCTTTAGTATTTTGTAATTTTCTGTAGGTTTTCGTTTTATTTATTTCGATTTATCGTAGGAATAAGATCCAAACTAGAAGCTCAAAAAAAAAAACAAACAAATGAAGAGTTGGGGCTCCTTATAGAAATTGATGGAGATGAAAAATTTGTAGAATTAGATGACGAAGAGGACGATGATCTGAATGACGAAGAAGTGGCTTTTAGTGAGCATGACAGTAATTCCGAGATTTCAACCGATGAGAGTGAAGAAGAAAATTTATATACTGAAATTCTCAGCGATGCATTTTATTCTGGCAAGGATAAAACGACGAAATGGTCTAAAGTAAGTTTAGTTCGTAAGGCAGTAAGAACAGAGGCACGTAATTTGGTCAAAATAATGCCAGGGCCAACATTGGATGCTCGCGGTATAGAAAACGCGATAGACAATTTTTTGAAATTATTTTCAATAGAAATGGTAGATGAGATTATTATATACTCAAAATTTTTTCGGGACACCTGTATACCAAGCAAACCGGCAAAGTACGGTATAAAAATGTTTGCACTTTGCGATGCCAAAAGTTTTTTCACTAGTAAAATAGAAATTTATTGCGGAAAACAGCCAGATGGGCTTTATTTTGTCAATGACGCACCTTCAGATATTGTTTCAAGATTAGTGGATCATGTACAAGGAAAGAATAAGAACCTGACATGCGATAATTGGTATAGTAGTTATCAGTTAGAAATCCCTCCTGAGTTTTTGCCTAATAAAAAGAGAGAAGTTTTCAGCAAGAAATCACAATTAGTTCCTATGTACCCAAGAAAAATAAATCTGTTATTTTAATTTCAACCATGCATAATGACAGCTCCCTAAATGAGGACACAAAGAAGCCAGAAGTAATTCACGACTATAACATGACGAAAGGCGGTGTAGATACCGTAGATCAACTTTGTTCAAACTACTCAGTGTCAAGAAGAACAAAGAGATGGGTACATTCTTTCACTTTCTAAACATTTCCGGAATAAACGTTCAAATACTGTATAATAGCATTTCCAATAAAGCAGTCGCACGAAGACTGTTTCTAAAAACACTTGCCATTAGCCTTATGAAGCCTCATCTCCGTGATCGCCTACACAATAAAAATTTACTATTAGATATAAAGCTAATATTGAAGAAACACGTCGAGAAGGAAGAAGAGAGGGAAAGGAAGACGAACCACCACCAAAAATTAGAAGCAGATGCCATATTTGCGGCAGAAAGAAGAATAGGGTAACAACTATGCGGTGTGATCTTTGCCATTTATTTGTGTGTAAGGAGCACAGCAAAGAAGACGAAAATTGATAAAAAAATATTTCATATTCTCGAACATTTTTTAGGAATCAAAGTATCAAGTTTATTTCTGTTATAATCAGCCATAATTTTCTTTTGTGTTCTCAAGATTTCTTAGAAGCTAATTACCGTATTTTCTCGAATCTTATCCGCACTCGAATCTAATCCGCACCCCGATTTTAAAAATTCATAGTGCTAAAAAAATTTAGTTTGCGAATGTAATCAGCATCTTTCTTTGTGTTATTAACCATAAATATATATTTTTTTCGTTGACTGACGCTGATGCACCTAAAGAAACCTTGCTTACGACGAGTTTTTATTAGATTAGACTTTAAATTTGCCAAGCCAGAAAAAATTGGAAAATAAATATAATTTTAAAAATAAATAGTAATGTCTAGCACGAATTCCGTTCATATACTGCCTTCGTNCAACTCCCTTAATTGTTTTTTTATCTACTAAAAATCCAAATTTTTCCTCAAATTGCCTTAAAACTGCATTGAAACTAATGTTCCCCAATCCATAGCACTGCACTATAAATATTTTATGTTGTAATGTAAACATGATCAATTAATATTTGACAATAGGCTAAAGCTAAGCTATCAAATGATAATTGTTAGTTCACTCAGATCATTTATTTTTATTGTAAAACGGAATATTAGAAAAAATTTTTCAAGAAAAAACTCAATTTTTCTTTTATGTTCTAAATTAATAAAATTCCGCATATGGGTATAATTTAACATAACAAACATTTTATCTTAATCAACTTTTGTTGTACATTGCTCAGAAAGACCACTTTACCATCAATTATACCTTACGGGGACACAATCCGGGGACACACTGTAGATAGCCTAAAACACAAATTTCAAAGGGAAAGGGATTCCAAATATATAATATATCTAAAAATGGAATGTTAGCATTTATTGGGTTACTTCTCTTATCTGGCGTGAAACGAGCCAATCATACAACTTTTTTAGAATTATGGATAACTGATTGCACAGGTATTGAGATATTTCGAGCCTGCATGAGTTATAAGAGATTTCTTTTTATATTACGAGTTCTGAGATTTGATGACATAACAACAAGGGAACAAAGACGTAAACTGGATAAGCTAGCACCAATTAGATCTACATTGGATGCTCTAAATGAAAACTGTAAACAGACTTACTGCATAAGCGAGTACATGACAATCGATGAAATGTTGGTTCCATTTAGAGAACGCTACAATTTTATACAATATACAGGGGATGTCCCGAAACTCAACGTCAAGCGGGCACCGGGTTAGAGGCCAACCCATACCTGTTCTGGTAAAAATAAGAAAAAAATTCTATGTATCTTAGTTAAGTGGTAATAGACATATTTTTGAAAAAGTTAAAAATCGGTCCTGTACATCATATCTTTAGGTACTACGGTCAGAAATGTTCGCAATTTAATAGTGATTTTTTTAATAATGTATTCCTCATGAACCATGCTACTATAGCAGTCACAAATCGAACAACAAAAGTCGTTAGTTTTGCAAGAAAAAGTATCAGTTTGATTGAACAACGGACTAGTACAACACCCTTGGCAAGTTATTTTAAAAGATGGCCTGTTTAGTCAAGATTCCAAAATAGTATAACACTGCCTGTTTTTCTGCCAAAAACGCGTTATTTAAAAAATTCATACTTTTGTATGTTATTTGGTTCGAAGTGACTTCGAACCAGTTTCTGAAGAAGGTTGCAACATGGCACCCGAAACGTCAAACCTTTTATTAAAAGACGCACGGCAAAACCCGAAAGTTTCTAGTGTTAGTTCTAGTTTTAGTTCTAATCTTAGTTTAATTCACACCGGCCGTGAAAGCCTTCGTACTTATTTTGTATGTTATTTGTATTTCCTCCAAAATGATTTAACAACTTTGTTAGAACATGTGCCACTCAATATCTACAGAGAAATGTAGCAACAAGATGGTTGCCCAGCTCATTATGCTTGTCCTGTACGGGATTGCATACAGAATACAGAAAAATACCCAGAAAGATGGATTGGCCGTCGTGGTTCGATTACGTGGCTTCCTCATTCTCTGGGTCTAAATCCCCTTGATTTTCTTATTAGGATTGCATAAAAGAAACAGTGTATTAAAAACGGATTGAAAATCTTGCCGAACTGCGCCACAATATTTATACAGCAGCAGAAGAAATAAATGGAAAGAGATTTGCACAACAAGTAAAAAGATCTTTTCTGTGATGATGCAGAGCTTGTATTAATGCCGACGGCAAATAATTTGAGCATTTGCCTTAGTTTTAAGAAAATAATGCTATCAAATTAATAATAAATAAATTTATTTGTTTAAATTTGTCTTTAGGTAAACCTTATTTGAAAGAGTCTTTTTGCAAGACATAAGGGCAACCATCTTGTTGAAACCATATTTTGTAGTTCGTAGATATTGACTGGCACATCTTCTAACAAAGTTAAGAGGAAATAAAAAGTAAATACAGATAACATACAAAAGTACGAATTTTTTAAATGACGTGTTTTTTGCAGAAAAATAGGTAATAATATTTTATATGATAAGAAAAATGGCGAGTGTTGTACCATTTTGGAAACTTGACTAAACAAGCCATCCTTTAAAATTACTTGCTAAGGGTGTTGTACTACTGCTTTTTTTAGAAATCGTGTGTCAAACTTGATAGACATAAATTCTTTCAACCTTAACTCAATCAAATTAATATATTTTTTTTGCAAAACTAACGACATGGTTCATAAGGAATACATTATTAAAAAAATCACTATAGATATGATGTACAGGACCGATTTTTAACGTTCTCAAAAATATGTCTATTACTATTTAACTAAGAGACATGGAATTTTTTTCTCATTTTTACCGGAACAGGTATGGATTGGCCTCTCACCCGGTGCCCATTTTACGACGGGTGTAAGTTATTGAACATCATGGTAAATTATTCCAACGGCGATATTTGAAATTTGTTTTGTATTGATGGCGAATGTAATAAACTTTTGGACAGGACGTGTCGAACACTTAATGAGAGATGCCCAACAAACCTAACGCCCATCACGAGGAAAAATTTCAAAAAATTGATAAAGAATTTATTAGTTCTGGATATATCGAGACCAAAAGACATCGCATATTTCCGGTCACTAGTGATGAAGACAACGAAATAAATATTTTATCGTATTTTATTGCATTTCCAAATTCAATTTTATAACAAATTTATATTTTTATTCAAATCTAATTTTTGTCATTAACTTTTTGTTTTAATAGTTTCATTTATTTGATCTTCTGTTTGTTATTTTTGGTAAGTAAAAGCTAGTAAACTAAAAGATTATCGTAGTTAATAGTACAACTAATAATAGAAATAAATTAAACAAAAATGTCATGGCCTTCTAATAAAAATACAAACGGTTTCCTGCATTTTCTGCATGTTTTGATAAATTTACGAATATGAGAGAAACTACAACAAATAAGTATAGGAATGTTTATAGATAAATTGTAGAGAATTAAATTCCCTTTCGTGTAGGCTAATAAAATATGGGGCGTTCCATTTAAAATTTTCGACTTTCTCCCCATTGAATATGGAGAAACGGTAATTCAATTTTTGACCATCCTGTATAAGATACTCTGATACAATATATGACAATCTATTTGAGAGCATCTGAAGAGTAATCGTGCCAATTTAGAGCTTTTTTGAATGAACGTTGGCTGGGATATAGGGTTTTAAAGAGCATGGTGAAATTTGCCAAAAAAACCTTAAAATCAAAATAACTCGAAAACGAAAAACGCTAGGTACCAATAACTTTTATGAAAGTCAACATATTTTTTTACGTACAATTAAAAGGTGCAATAAAAACTACAGCATTCCATTTAAAATAACGAAGCTATGGTCTACTTCCGGTAGAGCGGAAGTGGCAGCCATCTTGAAAATATTTTAGATCGAAAGTTCCGACTGAACAACCCATTCTACCAAAATTTCAAAACTGTACGAATACTGGAACTTAAAAAAGTTCTAACGAACCAATTACGTGAGACACCTGTATACAGCGCGACCAATTATGTTAATTTTTTAGCGCGCCTAATTTAGGGTTAAGATATGCAACCAAACATACACACAAAATATTTTTTTTTACCTTGGTGGTGAATTTTCCAACTCCCCCAATTTCTCTTCAATCTCCTTAGCTTGTTCCTTCAATAAATCCCATTCTTTCCCGCACGCATTTAAATCCCGAATTCCACTTCGATAAGCAAACTCTAATTGAACATCCCTTTTATCAATTTTCGCCCAATCTTTAACTTTATCATTCAACTCTTCCATATGCTCCTTAATCCCAAGCATCTGTTTTTGATTAACTTTTAATTTCTCTTGTAGCGCAATAACTGATTTGAGATGTTGAATTTGTTTTTCTTTAACATGTTTCTCTTGGAGCTTTATAACCCATTCTAAAGCCTGTCCTAAACTAACCGGTTTATTTCCGGCGTAATTAAAATCTAAGTGATGGGAAAGATATGATGTGGTTTCTAATAAACGATTAAATTCTCTTTCAACCATTTCATCTTTGTCTTTATCAACTGTGGCACCGTTTGATTGATATAAAGGACATTTTTGACGAATTCTATGGAGTTCCATATCGATTTGTTTGCTTAATGTGGTTACAGGGTTACCACCTAAACCAGTTACAACCATTGCACCTAAATCAGCGATGTAATTACCTTTGCGAAAGGTTGCAATTCTTCCTCCAACTCTATCTCGAGCTTCCAACACGATAACCTCTAACCCAAATTGTTGTAATTGCTGTGCAGCAGCTAATCCAGCAATTCCAGCTCCAATTACAATCACTTTGCCGTATTTTTTAGCTGGTAATGGTTTAACTCGCTTGAAAACACCGAAATTAATAAAACCATTTCGTTCTAAAAAAGCGTGTACCCTCTTTATTAAAGGGACATCACTATTATAAGGGGGTTCCATTTTTTCAATCGCTTCTTCGATGATTAATTGATGTTTTGGATTATCCAGCCAAACTTGAAGGATACGATTTCTAATGTGTAAATAAACTTTGACAGTTTGTAAAGCTGCATCGGCAATATCAGGAAAACAAGCTGCTTCAGTGCTGGTCATTTTATCGTAAGGCATACGACTTTGAAAAGCAGCACCTTCTAACCCAGAAAAAAGCTCTTTTACAACTGGATCATCAAGTTCTGAATCGGGATCATCCTTTTTCTTTTCATCTTCCTTTTTAACATCATCTTTTTTATCCTTTTTTAAAGTTTTTGAAGTACTCGTTGTACCCGACTTTTTATCGATGGGTGTTTTATGTTCTTTATCTCCGTTAGTTTCTTCTTCTAAATTGTTATATTTTTCTTCCATTTCTTTATATTCAACCTACAACAATTTTCATATTAATATGATTAAATTTTAATCAATACGAGTTATATTTACCTTCGATTTCTTTCTGCGACTCATTTTCGGTGATTTTCTTTGCGATTTTAACAATAATATTAGAGAACGATTTCAAATTGATCTTTGTTTACAATGTGAGGTTATGTTATGATAATATTAATGACATAAATGTAAATACGAAAAAGAATAGAAAACTGTAATAATTTTTATGTGTTTTAAAAATTAACGCAGAGATGTCGCCAGTTTGAAACTTGTCAAATTCAAATTTAAAAACATTAATTTTAAATTTAATTCTAAATCACAAAAAATTCTTTAAAATAAATAAAAATTGTTTTACTAAATTGATAATTTTTTGATGTATTTTAATCTACACAAAAAAAAAACATTTTATTAATCATCATTATAACCACACAAAGATTATTCACATTGAGAGGATCATTTTAGGCGCATTAAGTTCAAGGATAACGCGTGCAATGATTCCGTGTGGTAAAAAATTATCCAGCCGGTCCCCACACTAAGCAGGAAAACGGCTATTTGTGAATCTGTGCTCGAATTAACGATTGTTATCTGTTAAAATGTTTCGACACGAAACCGACGCAAGCAAAGAATTAATTTTTTGATGAACTTTTTACTCTGAAAAAGAGTTCAATGATTCTTTTGTCTGCATCTTAGTAAATGTTAACGTCTTCTAACTTTGTGGGTCATCTAAAGTTAGATTAGATTCGGCCTAGGAGATATTTCTGAGCTCAATTCAAAGTCTAGAAAATAATTTCGATTTTAAATCTAAAAATGAAAATAAATCTTAAAAAGGAAGGTGCTTAATAAAAGGATAATTTTGAGTTATTTTTAAACAAGCATCTAATAAGTGGTAATAAAAAGTGTTTTAAAAAATTAGACTGTTTAAATTATCTAAGTAGTTGTTTAAATTTGAAGTTGGGTGTCCCAAAGCTTTGTATCAATCTCAACTCAACACGAGCCCAATTTTCCATTTAAGCTGGACACATTAAAATTTATAAATGGTCCGGTTAGGGATCCGAGTTAAAATTCACAGTTTAAGTTCTCAGTTTATGGATAGCTCTCTAGTTTAAGCACTCTCAATACTTTCTCATTATGATCGGTGATGCTTTGGACAATGTTTTGGTGGAATTGGGTGAATGCGGACGATATCAAGCTAAAGTTCTCGTTTTTTTAATCTTAGCCGTTTCTTGGGAATCCGCAATTCACATCGCTTTCGTGTTCACGGCGAAAGTTCAACATCCATACAGGTAAACATTATTATTTTAATTAAGTTTAATGGTAGGTATCGTAATCTATTCTTGTTCATTTCGTTCACATTCTTGGATATCATTAGGTTTACGCACTGATTAAGTTGGATAGTTGTTTCCTCGATTCAGTTCGATAAGATATTTTTAAGCGAAAAGTTGCTTAAAGAAAATGGAGAATTTTGATATAGAAAATCGTTATGATTATAACAAACTTTTAGATGATATAGGTGATATAGGAAAATTTCAAGTGGTAGCTATGATTTGGCTGGTATTTCCAACTGTAAGTAAAGGTTCTACTTGGTATAGTTATGCTTGGACTGTTCAACGTATTCCAACAAGGTAAATATAAATTACATCTAAATCAACGATTTGATTTACTTAAGGCACTACATCGGTACGAAATCACAGTTTCAAGAATGTAAATATAAATTTCTAGTTTTTAGAAACAACTCATCGTTCTTAAACAAGCTCTTATCGTGACGTTGAGAGATCCATCTTCTGACGTTTTCCTTCTCCCCAGCAAGATCTTTAAGCTGCTGCATAGTCTTGTTCTTGCGCTCTGGTCTCCTTGTACATTCGTAGATTCCTCACCTGTCCCATTCGTCTTGCACGGCCAAATCAGGACAGCTATTTATCCTCAATCATCACACAGAATAACCCACAATATTTACCAAATCGCCAACATTTATGGACATCCTCTTATCATGAAAAATAAACTCAATAAGTATCATTAAAAAAATAAGTTTCGAAAAAACAAATACAATACCGGTCAAAAGTATATGATAATTTGGTTTTTCCCACATAACATTTTTGAAACTTTATGAAACCCGACAATTTTTTCACCATAGGTTTTGCAATGTATTTCACATGACATAGACTTGTGTAGAAGAATCCGTTTCAACTTTGAGTTATTAAAAAAATTATTTTTATTAAAATACGAAAATATACTATAAAGCGATAACAATCGTCAACAGCAATCAGCCATGTAGAGCAACCTAGTACTTGGTTGGGTAAGCCTTGCTGTTGATCACAGCATCTTCGGGACATGGAATCAATCAATGCATCAATAGCGGGCTTCGCCCACTCTGCCTGCAACTGTTAGAGCTTCTTGTATCCCAAAGTGTCCCAGAGCGGTTCGATGATGTTGAGATCTGGGCTCTGATCTCGACGCGCGAACCTGTTGGATCATTGTCTTGCTGGAACAGTCAACCCCGACGCATGTTTTTGCGTTCCCAAGGAAGCCTGTCACCCTGCAAAGTGTTCTTGTACTTCTGAGGGTCCATGGTACCCGTAATGCGCACCAGGGGACCAATACTAGCAGCACTGAAGCACCCGCACTCCATGACGGAATCACTACAGTGCTTCATCGTGGGAAGCAGGTACCTGGGATCGAAGCCAGTGCCCGTAGGATGACGTATCCACGATATGCCATCAGTTCCGAATAGCAGGAACTTGCCCTCGTCGCTCCACAGGACTTTCTGCCACTGCTGTCGGGTTCCGTTGAGGGGCGCTTCCGCCCAATCCACGCGCGCCTTCCTATTCTTAGCTGAAACGAGTAGTTTCTTTACCGGACGTCGACCAATGAGTCCTGCATGTTTCTGTTTCTTCGTCACGAAGCCCCCGAATGTCCTCCACGTCTTCAGCACCGACAAAATCGTTGACTATTCAAGCGAAAACTGAGTGGTGAGCTACATCACGCATGTGCGTCCTTGTCGAGAACTCTCTATGATGGCCTTCTGCGTCGATTCCGACAGATCTCGAACTCCTTCTTTTTACCAATTCTTAAGAACAATATTTATATTTAATTAAAAAGCTATTTCTAGGCCTGACGTCGATTTTCAAAAAGAAATTTGTCACGCCTTTATGCTTTGGCATATAGTGACTTCTGGAANGCTATGATTTGGCTGGTATTTCCAACTGTAAGTAAAGGTTCTACTTGGTATAGTTATGCTTGGACTGGTCAACGTATTCCAACAAGGTAAATATAAATTACATCTAAATCAACATAATAATCGTGAACAGCAATCAGCCATGTAGAGCAACCTAGTACTTGGTTGGGTAATCCTTGCTGCTGATCACAGCATCTTCGGGACATGGAATCGATCAATGCATCAATAGTGGGCTTCGCCCACTCCACCTACAACTGTTGGAGCTTCTCGTCGCCGAAAGTGGCCCGAATGACCGACAACTTGTGTCCCAGAGTGTCCCACAGCGGTTCGATGATGTTGAGATCCGGGCTCTGGCTTCACCAGGCCATTGAACGCTGCGCGAACCTGTTGGACGTCCCTGGATGTGTGCTTGGGATCATTGTCTTGCTGGAACAACCACCCTGACGCATGTTTTTGCGTTCCCAAGCAAGCCTGTCATCCTGCAGAGTGTGCTTGTACTTCTGGCAGTCCATGGTACCCGTAATTCGCACCAGGGGACCAGTGCTAGTAACGCTGAAGCATCCCCAAGCCATGACGAAACCACTACCGTGCTTCATCGTGGGAAGCAGGTACTTGGGATCGAAGCCAGTGCCCGTAGGATGGCGTATCCACGATATGCCATCAGTTCCGAATAGCAGGAACTTGCTCTCGTCGCTTTAGTGGCTTTCTGCCACTGCTGCCGGGTTCCGTTGAGGGGCGTTTTCACACAATCCACGCACGCCTTCCTGTTCTTAGCTGAAACGAGTGGTTTATTTACCGGACGTCGACCAATGAGTCCTGCACAGTGTTGTTAAATACCCGGGTATTTATTTTCAAGGGAAAATTCCCTGGATATATGTATACCCTGGGGTATTTACCCAAGATGGGTATTTAGAGGTATTTATAAAATTTGATTTAAATTGAGTTGATGGCAGTTTTGCAAGTACTTCAAGAATACAGAGTCCATTATCGGTACACCAAACTTATTTATAACATTTACAAGAATGCTACATTGAGCGTGGGGTAAGACAAGGCGATATAATGTTGAACCCAAATTGTTTATCACAGTCCTGGAGAGTGCATTTAAATAACTGGATTGGGCTCAAAAAGGTATAAAAATTGATGGCAATACGTAAGTAATTTGCGCTACGCGGACGATATGGTCCTTATTTCGGATATCCTTGGAGAGATGAGACTGATGCTGAACGTATAGGAGGCGTGCGCAAGAGTTGGACTAAATATCAACAAAATTTAGGACAAATCTTGTTCCAAGCTGTAACATCAATATTGGTGATGATGAATATTCCATCTAGAATACTTTCGATGGTATGTTATTAATCTCTGATGCCTTTCCATATTTTGACGCAGAGATTGCGATGTGAACCTCACTTATTGATATAGGTTCCATGACACTATCCTTTCTTTGGTGTGACGGACTGCTGTCTGTTTCCAAATTAGTTTCTCTATGCTTAATAGGTTTTGGAAATAATTTTTTCAAATGTCATTCATTTCACTATCACATATTATTTTCCCTGTTCATCTCAGCATAGAGCTGTGTGCGATTTGTGCCTTTATCTTAACTGTCTAACAAATTTATACACATTCCTGGTGTTATTAGCTTTAAAGTGTACATATATTTCGGGAAAGTTTATATTTTCACTACCGACCATTCTCGTTTACGTAATACTCTTCGAAAATATTTAACGATTTCTTTAATGCTTGAAAAACAACTTTGAATGTCCTGAATTGAGTATAAGTCTAATATTAATTACTAAATTCAGTTTTTATGCTTCATTAATTCTTGTTGTTTGATTCTTTTCTAGTCATATTGCACTTCCATCAAATCCAAGATTCCAAGTTCCATGAGATTGTTGATTTCCAATTTTAAATTAAGTAGTTCGTTTAAGATCTTATTATTCTTCTTCTTTTATTCAGGTTGTAACCTGTTTACGCATCATTCATTGTGTT